AGTATTTCTGCCATTAGCATGCTCAAGGCCTCACCCAAGATTAGGAGGCTGTTGTGCAACACACAAGTGACATTTCCTGCCCTAGGGACCTTGAAGTCCTCATGAATAGTAGATGTGAGGGGAAAAAGATCTCTTTTTATATAGCAAGCTGATAACCAGGACAGGGACAGGACCCAATCCATCCTCTCCACCGGCATGGTCGTTTGGAGAGATTTCATGATGTGGTCTCATGCGAGAAGCTCCTTCATGGACTAAAGGTAGGGTCTTATGAAGAATTAAGTAGAAGGCCATTAGCATTAGTCAATGCCAGGGACCCAACCCAAAAAAAAGGACTGAATGATCCCAAGAGTGATATTATCCAAGATAAGGGCAAAGGCACGTGGGGGCGTTGCATGTTCAAAGAGGAAGATGAGGCCATTCAGCACACATGACACTTCTCCAGCTATGGGTTGGTGTCCTCCTCAGCCTAACCAGCAAACGTTATCCCTTCCTCAACCCTGTCCCAGTGCTGGCCATACCTGGCTTTGGGAGAGGGAGTAAATCTTTCCATCAGAAAGAGTATTGCAGAGGTCACCGGACGGACCCATAAATCTCCATTATCAGGCAGCGGCTCCTGTGCCACAAAACGGAAATTATTACCCTGAGTGTGACTGGGGGAGCCTTTCCTTCCCCCCTCATTGTTCTGGGCCCTCCGGGAGCCGCTCGGGCGATTTGCTGCCTGAATAAACGTTTCCTTTCCCGGCTGCTAAGTACAAGGAATAAGTGTCAGGGGATCTCATAATGCCAGAATTTAGAGCTCCAGCCCCGAGACAGAAGCCAAGGAAACACTTTGCTGCTTTTTCCCGGGGAGCCTCCTTAATCCCTACTATTAACAACAATGGCAAATTAAAAAATTAGTGTACTTGAAGCCCAGTGACCTCCATGCCCAATATAGCTCAGCTTGCTGGTGGAACATGCTTCCTGTGGGCTCTGAGCCCTGGGAACGTTTGGGTTTCCTAGGTCTTGGTATCATGCATCAAACTGCATGGGCTGCAGCTCTTCAGGTGACACTTTTATCATTATTTTGAAGACCCTCAGGTTTCCAAGAGCAGTTGGGATATCTCAGCTGTGTGGCCAGAATGTCAGCTCAGAAATCTCCCCTTGGCAACTTCATCCTTGAGTCTAGAGATGCTGTGACATTATAGGACCTCTTTTAGAAAGCAATCCAGCCCCTCGCCTTCCACTTCTCCACTGGGGACCAAATGCCCTTCGTTCACTAAAGGGCATGCACTAAGCCCACGTCATCTTCTCTGAGCCAGTATCCAGCAGTGTCCAAGACACACCCTTTGCCATCATCAAGCATACTCCATCCCTGGAGGGGTTCAAGGCCAGGCTGGATGAGGCTTTGAGCAACCTGGGCTGGTGGGAGGTGTCCCTGCCCGTGGCAGGGGGTTGGAACTTGGATGATCTTGAAGGTCCCTTCCAACCCAAACCATTCTGTGATTCTATGATTCTATTACCTCAAAGCAGGAGAGGATATTTCTCCTTCAGTAGGTCAAGGAGCTCGCCCTGCTCTGACGGGGCTCCAGGAATGGTTTTAATGAGGTGACAGTCTGCAGATGTCATCTTCTGACTCAGCACTGGCTGGGGCACCATGGGACACACCCATCCAATATTGCCCCATGAGGGCTGTGATTAGGGAGAGCCACCTATTGCGTGGAGCCTCAGTGTGCCTTGGGAACAAAGTCTGGTCCTTCCCCGTCTCCAGCACCAGCGATTCCTATTTATTAACGTTCACAAGGATCACCTTTGTCTGCACCTGAGAGGGGAAAATCACACAAATGTTATTACTACGGAAGCAGAAGAGGGTTTTTTTTTAAACTTATACCAGTGAAAGTCCCTCAAGAGAGAATCTCCAGTTCAAATCCCATGGAAACTGGAAAAATAACGCCAACCCCCAAACAAGTAGCGAAGAATATAGCTCAAACTAATAACGATGAAAAAGGAGAGCAAAGGGAGCTGGTCTCAAGACTACTTTGCACTGGGATTTCGGATGTCTGATTATAATCCAACAGCGAAAATAATGCGGACAGTGGACCTGGGTGTCACATAAACTCTTAGGAAATAACCCTCCATATTCAGTAGCAAATTTGATTATTCTCAGAAAATAAGATACTTACACTTTCCCTGTTTCAACTGCACATCCTCTGTTTTTTTTTTTTCTAAAAACAAAAGTATTCCCATACTTGACATTTCTTCTTATCATACCCATTTTGTGGGACCTTCTTATTCAAGAGCTAGTCCAACTCTCCACATATTTGAGGGGCTGTTAGGAATTTTCTCCTTTTTGTTTGATTAAAAACTTTCCAATTTTGATTTTCTGGTGGAAAAATCTCCAGGAAATATGATATTTTGTAATTAGTCACAGACACAACTCTAATCAGTCAAGAGTTTTAACTGTTACCTTTGGACTACCTCTGCTCTGCTAAATTCTCCCTGAATTATGCCAACAACTTTGTACTGAATTATTTTCAAAGAACAAGGGATTTTCACACAGGACAAAAAATACTCTGAAAATAATTTGGCTTTTTTTTTTCAAAAATGTTAATAAAAAACTTCAACAACTTCTAAGATGAAAAAAATAGTAAAATGTTTTCCTTTCTTGAGATTTTTCAGGGAAACAAATTCTTTCCTGACCAGCTGTTCCAATTCCTTCTCTTTTCAACTGAAGTTTATTTGCTCTAGATTTTGGCTGCGACTCAGTGGTGATTTTAAAGGGGAAAGTGAGGCATTATGGTTACACTACCACTGAATCCACGTGTACAAAAATCACCTGGAGGGATCTTTCCTAAACCACCAGAATTGCTCAAAGTTAATGAGATTTTCCTAAGCTGCTGAGAAGATACTGGATTCCTTCTTTTCTGGCTCCAGAGCCCCTTGGGTACACTCATTTACTGTTTTCTAGTATTTCCCAATGGCCACATTTGGGAATGGCCATAAAAATGCCATTTTTAGCCTGGTTTTCTAGGGAGAAGTAGGCTCATGTGAATCTGTTTCTTTCTGTCTCTGCTTACTGGTGCCACTGTAGTAATTTTTTAATCCTTTGGCTCTTTCATAGTTATGCAATTTCCTATGGATTTCCAAAAATAGCCTGGAGAAAAGAGAAAACAAGGTTGATGTCTGAACATAACTCTTATTAGATAACAAAGAATCCACACGGGATTGAGACACAGATTGGCAAGAAGCCAGATTTTGTTGGTGTGCTCCTTGGGGAACTATTGTCTTCTAGCAGAAAGCTGAGATACTTGTGTAAGAAGCAGGTGGACAAGCACAAAATAGAGCAAGATGGACAATAGTATTTTAAGAGTTAACGTTATGCTGGTCTGTAATGGCTGAAGGCCTTGCTGTCCTCCAAACCTCTCCTGTAGGCTGCAGTTCATTGGGAATTTTTTCAGCAGCCTGGTGTATTCCCAGGCTACACTAAGTAACGGAGTCCTTTGCTGTCACTTGTCATTTTCTTCTCCCCAATTATTTTACGTGTCCATCTGCAGGAAGGACTGCTTTTGTAACAGAAGAAAGACATTCCCAAGCTGAACTCAGTAGCTGATATTCTCCATGTGGGATGACCATTGGCAATGCGCATTTTCAAGGGCCATGCCACCTGGATCCAGCCATATTTCCATCTCAGCAAGGCCTAGAGTCGATATTTATATTTTATTAGGTGAAGTTCTTGGCTTCTCAAGGGCACTGTATCCAAGGGTGAGCTGACCTGTGTCTTTCCAAATGACGATGCGGTCGAGGTGCATTGTGCTGACCTCTGCACCGCCTTACAGATGATATGGAGCTGCCGGAGCCAGGGAGATTGGACTGGCCCAGCCCAGGGCAGTTGTCCTCACCCTTATATCCAGCCACAGCCAAGGAGGTGGAGGGTGAACCAGGAAGGTGGTGGGTGAATGTGCCAAGCCCTGGAGAGTGGTGTCGAGCACAGTGGAGATTTGCATCAAAAGCTGAGTCTCTTGATGCCTGGGAATGCCCAATGATGTCTGTTAGCTGGCAGCCTGAGCTGGGGTTGTACGTGTGGGTTCTTGCAGTTCAGGAGATGATTCTCATGAAGAGAAGAGGGTGAAGGCATGTGAATGTGTCACCCCCTTGACCCTCTGTAGCCTTTCCCCTCTTCAGGAGGGCTGGGTGGGAGCTGGCATGGAGTGGAGTGATAGTACGAGGGGTAACAGTTTTAAGCTGAAAGGGGAGATTTAGATGAGATGTGAGGAAGAAATGTTTTCCTGCGAGGGTGGTGAGGCAGTGGCCCAGGTTGCCCAGAGAAGCTGTGGATGCCCCATCCCTGGAGGGGTTCAAGGCCAGGCTGGATGAGGCTTTGGGCAACCTGGGCTGGTGGGAGGTGTCCCTGCCCATGGCAGGGGGGTTGGAACTCGATGATCTTGAAGGTCCCTTCCAACCCAAACCATCCTGTGGTTCTATGGGCTGGATGAGGAGCAGTCCTGCGGGGTAGCAGGGCACATGGCATGGCTTTCCCCACCCACACCTGCTTGAGCCCCATTGAGAGATGCTTGGGCAGCTCTCTGATCTCTGGGTAGTTCTGCTTTGTGGGTCCAGGCGTGTGGTTGCCCGTGGTCACAAGTAATTTGTCATGGTTGTAAACACGGCTGCTCGTGTGCCCCAATCCACTTGCCCTGGCTATGTCCAATCTTGAAAATTGGATAATGTCAGAACAGAAGGGAAGGTTTCTATTTTTGGCTCCTTTTACCTGTGTCCCAGCACATCCCTGCTGACACAGAAGTCCTGGAGCCAACAGTGTATGGCAGGGAAAGGGGTTCCTCTTTCCGTAGTCCTGGGGGCTTCCTTGAGAAAGGAAGAACTGTTTTCCTGCATCCTATAAAATCTAAATGTTTGTGATTTCTTTAAATGTCACTTCTGGGCTCAGACATTGAGAACCAGACCAAAAATTAAAAGTACAGCTACCCAATTAACCAATTATTTTCCCTTCTCTCTCACCATGGCAGCGGAATTTTTTGATGACTATTCAGAAGGTCGAGAATGTGTCAACTGCGGGGCCATGTCCACCCCACTCTGGAGGAGAGATGGCACAGGGCACTACCTCTGCAATGCCTGCGGGCTCTACCACAAGATGAACGGCATCAACCGGCCCTTGTTCAAACCTCAGAGGAGGCTGGTAAGTCAAGACCACACAACACATGTGGGGCAAGAATGAGGCAAAAAGACTTTGGCTGGGTGGAGATGCCGGGGGTGTTTCAACTCCTTGGGTCCCCATATGCCCAACCTAGGTGGTTTTGATCCAGATTTCCAAAATAAACCACATATCTTGTGCTTGGTATGCTCCAAGACCTTGTAATGTCCGGACTAGTTCTGCAAAGACACCCAGGCCAGGCAGTGGAAGGGGCTGTAGGACACAGGGGCAGTACCACGGTGTTGGTTTAGCAAAAAACAGTCTTTGCTTTAGTACCCCTGAGGCATATTAGGATGACTGGAAACCCTTTCCAGCTCCACCACACCACCACTCCATCTTCTCTTACCTTCAGGGTCCTTCTTCCCCAGTCACTTCATGGTGTCCAGCCACCTTTTCTGGATACTCTGCTCCCTCCTCGCTTGGGTGAGCTGAAGCCACTGTAGGGCAGATCAGGGCATCCCAAAACCTGTGGGACCAGGGTATCCCAAAACCTATGGGGTCAGGATGGGGTACGTATGGTGAACCTGGAGGAAGGGAACATCTTAGTGTTGATATCCTGCCTGTCCCAGCATGTCTTGTGAGGGGTTTTGGGAAGGTCTCTGTAGTCTGTGCCCCAGGGACATGGGTCCATCATGACTCCAGGCAGCAAGGAGACAGCATGTCATCCCTCAAGCCCGTATTTCCCTCCTCCTTGTCTTCCATGAGGCTCCATCCCCAACATTGTTCGAATCACCCAGACCTATCTGTGCTTAAAACCAGCTGTCCCCTGCGAGTGTCAAAAATGTCACTGTCAGCTTGATCGCTGCCACCAGCCACAGCCAGCCAGCGCCCTCTTGTGAAAACCCTTCCTAGACACCGCACGGACTGAGCCCGGCGGCCTCTGCACCCTGGCACCCAGGCCCTTGCTCTGTTTCATTTACTGGTCTGTACGTTACCCCTGGGGACAGCTGTGTGGTCAGGAATGGCCCTTTGGGTACCAGGCCTTTGGACCGAGCAGCAATGTACAGCCGTGGGCTAAGGCTTGGAAAACCCCACGAGAAATACAAAAGCGTGAGCTGTGCAGATCTGTACATGCGCATTTGTCACTTGCCTGGGCAGCAGAAAATCGGGAAATCTTACAGAAAAGGCCAAATTCCTGTTTTTTTTCTTCTGGAATGGAATTTCCATGAGGAAAAGGAGGATATGTCTAAGGATGCAATGCAGGGATTTGGTTAAGTACTGACAATTGCTCTACCTAGATAAATATATTCAGTACAAGTGATTGAGTTTAATCTGTCACTGTGTAACGCCCTTTTTTTTGAAGACTGAGATAGGTCAGAGAGCCCTGCAAGGGGAGATCTTTGCCTTTGCTGCAAGTTCTCTTTTAAGTTCTTGGTCCACATACAAAGGCCAATGATTGAAGCTAATGCATGGTGAGGTTACAGCTAAAAGAATGTTTGGTTTCTCTGCATCAAATGAGTTTCCAGCTTTTAAAGTCCTAAAAAAAAATACTTGAATTTCCATTTCTATTGTCCTGCTGCTGTAGATTAACTGATCCTAGGAAGATTTTTTTTCCTGTGAGGGTGGTGAGGCAGTGGCCCAGGTTGCCCAGAGAAGCTGTGGATGCCCCATCCCTGGAGGGGTTCAAGGCCAGGCTGGATGAGGCTTTGGGCAACCTGGGCTGGTGGGAGGTGTCCCTGCCCATGGCAGGGGGTGGAACTGGATGATCTTTAAGGTCCCTTCCAACCCAAACCACTCGATGATTCTATGATATGATTCTGTGAAGAGTCAGGCAGGTGTGCAGGATGTGGCTTTTTCTTCCCCACCTGACACTCTGCTTCCAAGCTCAAAACTGGTATTTTATACGGTCTCAAGCCTTCAAGTCTTAATCCTGTGGCTTTTTGAGCCTGGCTAAACCGGTTCACTCAGAAAGACAACTTCAGAAGGCTTGTTCCATGTACTGTTTCATTAGTGTGGTTTCCTATTAATTATCCCTCTTTATCTTTAGGAAGACGATGCTGCTGGAAGCATTATTTTTCTTATCTCCCCCTCAAGCCACACAAGCAACATCACGCAAAGCCAGCAAGGAGTATGTAACCTTCATGGCATTGATAATGTCTTCTTGGGATATAGAATCATAGAATCACAGAATCACAGAATCACAGAATGGTTTGGGTTGGAAGGGACCTTAAAGATCATCTAGTTCCACCCCCTGCCATGGGCAGGGACACCTCCCACCAGCCCAGGTTGCCCAAAGCCTCATCCAGCCTGGCCTTGAACACCTCCAGGGATGGGGCATCCACAGCTTCTCTGGGCAACTATATGTCATGATGCTGGAAAGGTGAAGGGCTTGAGAGCCTGAAGGGCAGGATGGTCTGAGATCCAGACCCGCTAGTGTAGGTGTGTGGACATGCAGTGGGTCTCTAAGCTGCTACTAGACCCACTGGAGGCCTGGGGCTCCGTTCAGGTGATGTCTCTGGCACCATCTGAGATGCCCCAGGACAGCTGAGATGTCTGGCAGGCAGGAGGCAGTGGAAAGGCAGCAGAGCAGAAGCTGAAAAGGAAAAGGGGAAGAAAAAGGAAATTGTGTTATCCACTGCAGCAAGCTGAATAGAGAAAAAAAGAGAGAAATGGAGAGGAGAGGAGAATCTGAGGAATGCTGACACAAGCTCATTGGGATCTGAGATGTTGATGTGTTTTCTTCCTCTGCGTTTTCTCGCAGTCGGCTTCTCGCCGCGTCGGCCTCTCTTGTGCCAACTGCCACACGACAACAACCACGCTCTGGCGCCGAAACGCTGAGGGAGAGCCCGTCTGCAACGCCTGCGGACTATACATGAAGCTCCATGGGGTAACAATCTTTCATTGATCTCTGCTCTCGATGGGGACGGTATCGACAGCACCAAGCTGGGCATTGGGCTCATCGCACAACCCTGTGCTTTCTTGCAGCTGTTTTTCCTGCTGTCCCTCTGGGCTTTAGTCCCCCTCAACATTGGATCATGTTTATACTCCAAAGAGTGATGCATGCAGGGCATTTCTCACATATTAATTCGCCACCCTTTGCATCCAAACCTTAAAACTCAATAAAACAAGTCCCAGATTCTTCCCACCTAAATTTAGGCACTTTAGTGAAAAACCTGAGTCAGAAGCACCAAGAAGGGCTTGGCCCTTCCTCACGGGGTGTCCAGTCGTAGCTGAGACCTGGTTGTAGACTTGTCATAGTAGCAAGAGATGACTCTTCTTCCATGGGGGTCCAGATGGTCTCTTCCTGTCAGTGGGGGCTTCCTGTATCCATGCCATATCTGATATATCTAGAAGAGTCCTGTTGGAGTCCCAGGGACAGCAGGACTTTAAGACACAAATCTCCAGTCCTTCTCTTACCAGTCAGCAGCAACAGGGCCACCTCCATGGCAGAGACAGACACCTTCAACACCTTGGCAATCGCCTAGTAGCAAACCCTAGTTTTGCTTCTTATTGCTTCTTGTAGTGGTTTTTTACACACATCCATGATCTCAAGGATGCTTAAGAGTGGATGGAAGAGCATTCATGAGGTCAAAGCTGGAAGCCAAGGTGGATGAGGGGAAGCCTCACCTAACCCAACAAATTCTTCCTAGAAACCCAAGCCTGTTTCTGAGCATCTATACTTTTCTAAGGCTCTACACCTATGGTGTGAAAACCCTCTGTATTCCCATTTGGGTGTACATCTTGCAGGTTTGACTTCTCTTCCCACAGCAGTACTGACCAGGGACTTTGGGCTCCACCTTGTTGCTTGGTTTAATTATGAGCTGGTTTTCATGAAGCCAACGAGGTAGAGCTGGAATCCCATTCTCCTAGATGACCTTCTGGACATAGAGAAACCAATGGGCTTTTCTATTTGGCTCTGTAGGTTCCGAGGCCTTTAGCAATGAGAAAAGAGGGCATTCAGACGAGGAAGCGCAAGCCGAAGAACCTTAACAAAACAAAGACACCAGCAGGTAAGTGCTGAATGGACCTGTTAGAGTGAGTCCAGAGGAGGCCACGGAGATGGTCCGAGGGCTGGAGCAGCTCCCGTGCGAGGACAGGCTGAGAGAGTTGGGGGTGTGCAGCCTGGAGAAGAGAAGGCTCCGGGGAGACCTTCCAGCACCTTCCAGGGCTGAAAGGGGGCTACAGGAGGGATGGGGAGGGACTCTTCATCAGGGGGTGGAGTGACAGGACAAGGGGTAATGGCTTTAAGCTGAAAGAGGGGAGATTTAGATGAGATATTAGGAAGAAATGTTTTCCTGTGAGGGTGGTGAGGCAGTGGCCCAGGTTGCCCAGAGAAGCTGTGGATGCCCCATCCCTGGAGGGGTTCAAGGCCAGGCTGGATGAGGCTTTGGGCAACCTGGGCTGGTGGGAGGTGTCCCTGCCCATGGCAGGGGGTTGGAACTAGAGGATCTTCAAGGTCGCTTCCAACCCAAACCATTCTGTGATTCTATGATTCCATTAATAGGGGACTTTATCCTACATGTATACATGCGTGCACTTGTGTTTCTGACCATCATGCCCTGTGAGTCAGACACCCAACCACAAGATGGGCTGATTCTTCAAAAACTGGGGATGTCTGAATGCTTTTAGCAATAACAAAGCCCTTCCCACTATTTTTTTTTTTTGTTTTTACCTACACTAACTTTGGGTGGGTGGGTACAGCTCTGAACTGAAAGGTCTTTGGGAAGAGCCTGTTTTACCATCTGCTTTCTCACAGGTCCACCCAGCAGCGAGAGTCTTACCCCGACCACCAGCTCCACCAGCAGCAGCAGCAGTGCCACCACCACCGAGGAAATGCGCCCAATAAAAACAGAACCTGGGCTCTCATCTCATTACGGGCACCCCAGCCCAATTTCTCAGGTACAGAGGGACACAGTGGGACAGTGGGATAAAGATGGGAACTAGGATGGTAGACATGGTGAGAAGAACATCCTCAAAACCTCCGTGCCTCCTTTCAACCCAGGGGTCTAGGAGTTCACAATAAGAGATGTCTCCTCTGGGATGGGGCAAAACCCCCCATTCTTGTCACCACGTCTACAGCACAATACAGCTTTTTAATGGTGTGTGGTAGTTCTGAACGGACAAGAAGCAGTAGCAGCTTTGTTGAAAACATGAAATTCCTTCTAGCTGGGCAGCTCTATAGGTCCCATAACAAGAAAATGGCCGTTCCCTTTTTAAGATTTTATTTGATTTGTCTTGACCAAGGAAAAACTTGTCAATATTACCCTACATTCTCTGCACTGGCTCACTGTGTGCTGAGCGACAGGAGAAATGCAGAATAAAGTCACACAGCCCAAATCTAACCGACTGACTAAAAGACAATGGTATATGATAGTCGCTCTCCTTTTGGGTCCATACAGAGAACTCCAGTTTTCTCCCTGGAGAAAAAACAGGTGGTCGAGTGTTGTGCTGGATCCTGTACCTGCAGCACTTTGCAGCACTATTGTGTGCCCTGCAATCTCCAGGAGGCTCATTGTAAGCTAGGAGAGTCCAAGGCCAATGAAATCTCAAGCCTTGGGAGGTAAAATTATAATTTCTGACATTTAGAAGGGAACAAGATGTCCCATATGCAGTGACAGGAAAGAACAACAGGGAAGGAAAGAGTCTGTCCAAAGAATCATGCATGAGCTGCCATCTGCAAATCTACAGACATGATTTTACGACAGCAGCAGCCCCCCATAAAGGGATACACATGGTCCTCCATGGTCTGAAGCTTTGTTCACAGGATTTGTCCTTTTTCCATAGGCATTCTCAGTCTCTACCATGTCTGGACATGGATCGTCTATTCACCCTGCGATTTCAGCTCTGAAGCTTTCCCCGCAGGCTTACCAGTCAGCTATCAGCCAGTCTCCACAAACCAGCTCCAAACAGGACTCCTGGAACAGCCTGGTGTTAGCTGAAAACCATGGGGACATCATAACTGCATAAGCTGGTCTTCCCCCCATGGACTTGGTCCGCTCGAGAGATGAAGAAGACGTCATGAAATCATCAAGTCAATGTTGTTTCCCTGCTCTCCTGTCTTCTCTCCCCTTGTGAGATGTTCCAGCAAAGAGGTAAAGAGGACTTATCTGAGGCGTAGGAGAGCTCTTATGAAATGAACAGAGAAGACTCAAGTCTCAAAGTAACTGATGGATTTGAAGCCTTTTTCCCCCTCTCTTTAAATGAACCTCTCTATTTGACTGCCACCACCACCTGTGAAATAGCCAGAAACACAAAGATGGACACAGTTCTTGACTTTTATTTAAAAATATCTGGCATTTAAGACTCAGACAATGGTGGAGCAAAGATGCTTTTTTTTTCTTCTGTCACCATCCGTTCTTTTCCTGACCAGAAAAAAACGTCACCATCTTCTCATTACCCAAATTCAGTAATCTTCCACCAAATGGAGCCAGTTCCAGAACAGTTTGTCGAACAGACTTCATTAGACATGCTGTGGTGGCTTTAGTGGATTTGATATGATCTAGGGCAGAGAAAAGAGAGACCCTTCCCCAGACACATCCTCAGCTCATCTAGAGCATTCTCTTCATTTTCCTAGATGGTTTGGTTTGAGAACCTAATGAATGTCCATATTTAATAGTAACTCCTTTCCTATTTATCATTACAAAATCATGGGACCGTGTTTCCAAAAGGTTGTTGGTTGAGCCTGGAGAAAGTCTGTCTGAAGTCAAAGGGGGATTTTGGAAGGAGGAACCTTCTGGAAGCAGGTAGAGAAGACACACTTTGGTCATCAAATCCTGGAGGAGATTGCTGGGCTCTTCCCTTATGGATAGCTACAAGCCAGGCTTAAAAATTATTTGAGAGCACAGCAAGTGAAAGGTGCTCTTCTAACGCTGCTCTACTGTCGCTTTCCAAATGGCTAATTTAATTATTTCGCATACTTTTCTTTTGGTTTTGATGTCATTGATGAAATCTGATTGTCATTTACTTTTGGCTGTACTGTGAGTGCCCACTTTCCCCCCTAACAGCTGGCTCATGACCATTTCACATGTGTAACCCTTTAGGATCCCACCTTTTGCAACACGCAAAGGCTTCAGCCTCTACTGGAGGTAAGCAGGGGCCGTTTTCTTCCCCAGGCACGCACATAGACGTGCCTGCCTGCAAGAGAAGCATAACTCCATTAATGCACGAGCATTAAACAAGACTCACGTTTTTTTCTCACCCATAAGGCTCTCAGCAACCAGGGAATCCTAGAAAATGGGGTTGGAAGAGATGCTGAGAGCTCACTGACTCATTCCCTTTCCCAAAGGGATCAATCTGCCTAACTTAGCCCTGGCTGCTCTTTCTCTAGCATGTGCTTAACAAACTCCACCATCACAGATGCCACAGCTCCCCTGTGCAGACTAAGTGCTTCACCAGATGCTTGTCGTGACTTTTTCATCAACACTTCCGAGGAGGGACAGCTTTGCTCATCCAGGCAGAGAATTTCTGGGAGACCTCATCCTCCAAGGTTCTATACTTTTGTTTCTGTCCTCTCCCAAAACTCTGTTACTCTTCTTGCCTTCCCAGCTCCTCTCTTTCCTCTCTACATCCAGAACTCAAGGATGGAACCATGTGAAAATCTAGAAGAGGGACAGTGCATACCCCTGAGATGTGCCATCCTCCATCTCCCACTGTTTAACATTCCCACAAAGAATTTTTTCCACCCAAACACCAAGATACATGGCTTAGCGAAGAGGAAAGACACAAACATGTTTGAAACAAAAGAATGGCATTGTATTGTCTTTGTTTGAACTCTCCATTTTCCTCCTGATGGGAGAAAAGCCTCTTTAAGGAGAAGGATTTAACTGGACTGGTCGTGATAAAGACTGGGACTGGAGTCACAGTTGAGACCTGGACACTCCCACGTTCCCTGTGCTCTGGGGAACTCAGATTTGCAGGGTTTGGGAGGGATGATGGAGCCTCTGGGTGAAAACACAGAGGCATTTCTCCCTGGACGTGCAGGTCTTTAGCCAGCCTCCTCCTTGAACTATATTCCTCTGTAAATGACAACTAAGCTCTCTTGGGATCAGAATTCCTGTCTGTGACAGAGAACCACGCAGCACAAAGATGCCATTTGGCTAATGCCCACATTGGGGATACCCCGGACAACCTGAGAGGGAGGGGAGAAAGTGGTCCCGTGCAGACCAGACCAAACACACGCAGCATTTCTCTTTCCATACGGATGCTCTGCCCGCCTTGCCTTATTACTGCGCTCCTACTGCCCTCAAAGCCAAACTCCTTGCTGATTTTTTTTCCCTTGCCCTTAAAACACACTCCAAGGTGCCATAAAGGAGTCTCCTTACAGTATGAGAGGGGAATACCTCTGCAGGACACAATCCTGGTAGTTCCCTATCTCATGCCTGTAAATGACCACAGCAGAGATTTGTTAACTGGTTCCCATCCAGTGCTGAAAAGGGGGCTACAGGAGAGATGGGGAAGCTCTTGATCAGGGAGTGGAGGGATGGGATGAAGGGTAAAAGTTTTAAGATGAAAGAGAGGAGAATTAGATGAGATGTGAGGAAGAAATGTTTTCCTGTGAGGGTGGTGAGGCAGTGGCCCAGGTTGCCCAGAGAAGCTGTGGATGCCCCATCCCTGGAGGGGTTCAAGGCCAGGCTGGATGAGGCTTTGGGCAACCTGGGCTGGTGGGAGGTGTCCCTGCCCATGGCAGGGGGGTTGGAACTCATTGATCTTTAAGGTCCTTTCCAATCCAAACCATTCCGATTCCCTGACTTCCTCAAAGTCTTAAAAATAATTCTTGCAACACAGTGAGGATTATTTACAAGGACCCTGATACCAGAACAAGATGTCTGCATTAAGAAGGTCAGGCTCTAGGCGCTGTGAGGACAACCTGGCTCTCTTTAGTGGTAGAAATTAGGTTTTTTATCCTCCCTTTTTTGCACCACAAGCAGTAGAATTTCAGATACACCTGTTTCTGGTGTTCTTTTCAATCACCCAAAACTGTTGTAGAGCTATTGACCACCCTCGTGGTGGTAATGCTTTTTCCAAATAAATGTTAGATTATAATGAGAGGCAAAATAATTGGTAAATTAATTGCTCAGACTTGGGGACTCCCAAGAAATGTGTCATTGCAGGAAAGTGAATGTTGTTTCCAAGCCCAGGAGTCACACAGAGCCTCTTCCACTAGTAGGAGCTGGGATGGCCAACGCAGGATGACAAACATGAGAAGTGAGAGATGAAGGGATACTTGCAGGGTGAGAGGATAAAAGTGATACCAGCTTCAGGACACTCAGCTCATTCTAGCAGGAGGGACAGCTTATGAAATTCTGGGTTCCACCTGAGCTCTGCTTTCCTTCCCATGATGGGGGAGGCGTTTAGAGCCTGTTTTTCTAACAAAATTAGACACAATTATTAGGCATGATAATCATTGCTATTATTATTGCTCTAATTTATTTAATTGCAGCATGGCTGGAGAACGTCGTGAGGAGCATACCAGGCCAGGTCCTACACAAAGGCAGGACCAAGAACCATCCCTGCCCTGAGGAATAAGAGGGAAGGGCCCAGTCCTGCAAAACACTTAAGCACGTATATAAATGCATGTGTGGAATTTTTTTCCCTTAGAGGTCATCACTAATCACACACACAAATTTTGACGTTGAAGGGTTTGCAGCACAAGGTTTGCTTGTGCCAAGCCAGACCTTTTCCAATGGCTCAGTGGTCACCAGAGTAAAATGAGCAGATGAGAAGCAGGACGGGGAGCCAGAGGGGTAAGGAAGGTCATTTAACCATTTCTAAATGTCTTTCCTCTTTGTGGAAGTGCAATATCTTGAATCACTTCAGTTCTTCTTGTGTAAATTGATCAGAAGAGATCCATATTTCGTTTGCAATCTCATGGGCTCACTGGAGAGGGTGCCATCAGGAGGAGCTCAGGAATATTGTAAGGGGGCTTTAAAACCAATCAGCAACTGCTAATGTAACACTGAAGCTGTGACTATGTCGGGGGGGGGGTGGTGTTTTTTTTGCTTTTTTCCTCCCCATGTATAAAGTTTGAAGCTTCCCAGGTCATCTGGGAAGGTCCCACGGAACCAGACGCTTATTTGTAAGGGGCAGAGGGAAACCAACCAACCGAACAAGCTGTAATTATTTAAAGATGTAAAAAAATATATATTATGAAGTAGTATGGCTACCAATCCACGTAACTTCTACACCTTTAGAACTAATGGAAATAAAACAATGATAATAAAACCTGAAGGCTGCTGCTTGACTCTGACTACCCTTGTGGGCTTCTTGGAGAGGGCTGGGGATAAATGATCATAGATGAAGGGCACCTGGAGAAGCAATCATGCAATGGGTCCTGCCCTAGGGAGCTCATAACGATAGAAGCACAGAGTAATTGAAGTTGGAAGGGACTAGATCAGGATTCTCAGAGCTCAGTTCAGTCAGGTTTTCAGTATCTCTAAGGATGGAAATCCTACAACCTATCTGGGATCCTGTTTCAGTGTTTGTCCACCCTCATGGTAGAAATATTTTTCCAAAGAAACATTAGACTCTAATGAGAGACAAAATAATTGGTAAATTAATTGCTCAGACTTGGGGACTCCCAAGCAACAAGTCATTGCACGAGGCAGAATATAATCTCCAAGCCAAGGAGTCACACAGAGCCTCTTCTTGTAGGTAGGAACTGGGATGGCAAACACAGGCTGACAAACACCAGAAGTGACACACCCAGCAAAGAGGCAATTCAAGGCCAGGCTGGATGAGGCTTTGAGCAACCTGGGCTAGTGGGAGGTGTCCCTGCCCATGGCAGGGGTGTTGGAACTGGATGGTCTTTAAGGTCCCTTCCAACCCAAACCATTCTAGGATTTTAATACAAAGGGGGAAAAGCACCCAATAAATTTTCTATGCAGCAGGCAATCCCCCAGCACAAGGGGGAGAGGAAAAGCTTCACAGGGCACCTCAATCTTACCTCGTTAGACTGCTCATTAACACGGTTTTGTGGAGTAAGCTGTTGCTCAGCCTAAATAGTCCCAGCTGAACCCAGAGACACTGCCTTTAAGCCAAAATCATGCTGCCAGCCTGGGCTGTGCTTCTGCAGAGGGTGTAGGTGGCTGAGCACAGCCCTCCTGCAGGCACCCAACCTTCCTCTTGGGGTGCGCAGCTTCCTTCCCAGTCCAGCCAGTTCCTAGACACCCATACAAGTGGTGGGGCCAGTACTTCAGTTCCCCCCCCATCAGCCAACTGGGGAGCTCCCCTGCTATTTGGGAGGAGGGTCCTCCTCCCCTATAGAAGTAGGTGGGCAGAAGGGTTTGGGGTGTGATGGGTGATATTGAGGGTGGGTGAGTTGGTTATGGAGAGAGTGGAGATGCTGGGGGAGGTGGTGGGGATGTTGGAAGGGGGACTGGAGGCAGAGGAAGGGGTCTGGAGCAGAAATGAAACAGGGGAGGATGGCTGCATGGTTTCCTCTCCAGTTGCATGCCCAGGGTAGGCCTGGGAAGGGCAGTGGCTTGAGGGCTGGGTGTGGGAATGTGGGGCTCAGGGAGCACGCTCTGGGTGCCCACCTTGGGGCTCTGCACTGTGTATGTGGTGTTTGGTGATTTCTCCTTCCCCAGTGCTCTCTCACTGGCCTTGTGCCATTGCAGGCAGTGGGCAAAGCAGCTGGGAGGAGATGAGCTGCCTCCAGTGCCACCCAGAGAGCGGTGCTTGCCTTGGTGGCTGGATTTGCAGAAGGATGGCTCACCATGGCCTGGGTTGATTCAGGTTTGTTAATACCTGTGCAAGGTTGTGTTCCTCCTTTGCACTGGGACATCAAGGCTGTGACTGAGGGAAGGGTTGGAGTTAGGTGAACTCTCATTCCTGGTGAGGAGAGAGATGCTAAGCATCTAATTTAAGGTCCCCTACGACTCCTGGAGGACTTGTGGTAAGAAAGGACTTCTGGAGATCTCCAGGCCAAACTCCTGCTTGTGGGGTGAAAACTAACATTAAAGGAGGTTGCTTAGGGCCTTGTTTGATTGAATTATGAATATCCCCAAGGATGGAAATTCCTCTAGCTCCCTGGTTCTGAAAGGAACCTGTCTCTCTCCATGGACTTTCCCCCAGAGACCTAAGGAAGAAAATGGGGGGGAGGAGACTGGTGAGCTCAGCCTCTGATTGCTTTTGTGTTTTTCTGAGTTGCAACTTTCCTTCAAGTCCAGGGCACCAAGTGTGAGAAGGAGCTTCTATTCCCTCAACAGCTGCTGGAGATGCCAGAGGGCCCATCAGTGAGGAAATTCCAGTTGCTGACCTCCCCTTTTGTGGGACAAGTGGTGGCCAAGGTGGGGGGAAGCAGCCGGAAGATCAATGTGAATGACCTGAATGCCCTGAGGCTCCAGGACTCCCAGGTGAGCTGGACTAAAGACAAACTTATTGGCCCATGGCAAGTCTGAGGCAAACCACCTTTGTCCTGCATCTGGATCACAGAAGGTGCATAACCTGGGAATGACATCAAGCTTGTGTTTGTTGGATTGGTTTATGGCCACAAAACAGGTGCATGTGGCTAAAAAGGTGTGAATGCCCATTTTGAAGTACTACTCTGCGTTGCAAAGTTTGGGATGAAGGTTACTGTGAGGAGAGGCTGTTGCAGGATGTGGCTAGACACAGATGCCCAGAATTATTTGCAGGTTTGGTCAGTTGTGCTAATGCAGTGATACTGTGCCTCCCAAAGGATGAGGAGCTGGTGTTGGCAAGGGCTGTTTGTAGAAGATGAGTTGATTTCTTCAGTATGTGGATATTGGGAGCATCAGCCTTGTTTCCCTCAGCTGAGAACTTGCACAGTTGCTTCCCTTATACCCAAGGGCAGGGTTCCACCTGGCCAAGTTGAACTGTCTGTGCTGTTGGACACTTGTGAGATGGTCACACTGGGTCAGTCCTGCTGGAGCTGTCACTTGCCTGACCTTCAGATGATGATCTGGACCTCACTGACCAAATGCTTGTGCAGCCTCATCTCTGATTATGTGATAGTCTTGGCTGGGGACACAGATGTGAGCAGCTCAACAGTCATTTGTGGCTTCAGAGCCACCCTTGAGTCAGGTCACCCTAGCCTGAGACACTTGAGGCCAGCACAAAGTGGGGAGGTGAATGAGAAGCAGTGATGACAGACTTCAGAACCCTGAGTGTCTGTCCTGGTGTGTCTCTTTGGCCCCTCTGAGAGGGCTTCACACTGGAGTGGCATCCGAACACCTTGTGCTTCGTGCAGACAGAGAAGGGATGTGGAGAGGATGACTGCAGCTCTGGGAATGGCTCAGATGCTAAAGAATCCCATGTTCAGGGTGGGATGATGAGCCTTCTAGCTAAAAGAGGTTGTAGAAAATAGTCACTTGTATGGACACAGCTGGAGGTTATGTGGCTCCACTGTATATCCCACCTTTTTTCTCAGGTTCATGGAAAGAACTTGTACCTGGCATTTGTTGCAGCTGAAGGTCCCTTAGGACCACCTGCAGAAGAGACAGTGCTGCAAAGAGAGGCTGCTAGCGGGGGAGGTTCTCCTGCCCAGGAAGGGCAAGAACAGGTTTGTGCTCCGCAGGATGAGGAGCTGCAGGAACTCCACCACTCAAGAGCCGAACCACCAGATGCAGCAGAGGATCGAGGCAACTGGCTTCGTGTCCATTTTGGCTTATTTGGCAGCATTCGGGCAAATGAGTTCTCAAGAGCGAAAAAAGCCAATAAGAGGGGAGACTGGAAGGACCCCACACCCAGGTATTTGGTGGAGTACCCACAAACTCTGCTTTCACCCTGCCTCTCATTCTGTAGACACTACATTTGTCCGAGGATGCTCTTAGCCTTGTCTTTTCTCTGCAAATTCTTAAGATAAATATGCATGAGTGGGCGGGGGGTATATTCAACCAGGGAATCCACAGCACGCTTGTGGGATGCATGTTGCCTGCCATAGGATCACAGTACCAGCTCAGTTAAGATTTTTATTCAAAGAGAGAACTTTCAGCACACCAGGCTGAATCATGCCCTGAAAATGCCAGTTTCTCCCACTTAGACGCTTAAAAAAATCCTGGGATAAATAGCACACATCTAGGGCAGCTGGCTGGTTGGAGTGATGCTGTTGGAAACACAGGCAACAGTCCATGTCCTAAGTCCCACTGGAAGCACACTGGACGAGGAAGGGGTAAATACTGGAAGAAGGTGTGGACTCGGCTCTTGTGAGCTGTTTAATGTGAGTGGTTAATAATGTACAAGGCGCATGTCTGGCCCCTGTGTATGGGATGTACTTGGTAGGGATGCACTTCCCACTCCCCCATCCTGAAACCTTTTGAAGGATTGCTTTATTTCTACACAAATAGTTTCAGACAGCGTCAGGTTTGTGTGCTACTTTTAAGCATCAGTTTCCCCTGCCTGTGACCTTACTGCTGAGATGCTGGTTCATTACCCTGCCTGCTGCTGTCTCTTTCTGATCAAGTTTCTTTAGCCAAAGGAGACTATAACAAATGGTTCGGGGATGTTTCTGGTGAGAAACTTCCACTTTTCTTCTCCCAGGCTGGTTCTGCACTTTGAGAGTGGAGGTTTTCTTGTTTTCTACAACTGCCGAATGCACTGGTGCTCCTCTCCAAGGGCTGATCCTGCTTCTGACATCCTGTCTGTGGAGTTCCACCGTGGCCGGGCGCTGGATGCCCTCCGTGCACCCAATCCCATCTGCTACACCCTCTTAGACCAAAGATACTTTTCAGGGCTGGGTGAGTTCCAGGGCATAGTGGCAGAGCAAGAAACGGAGGAAGGTGGGTGGGATGTCTACAGATCCAGAGCTGTGTGTCTGAGCTTTTTATTCCTCAGACTTATGGCTTCTGGCTGATCCAGCTGAGGGTATGTGGTCATCTTGGTGACAACAAGGCTTGCAGTCTGTAGCTACAGGCTTCAGATTCTTCACCTGCTTGAGCACAGAGAAGTGTCTTCATGTGGGTGACTGTGGATTGGCTTGTACTTGTGGAAGAAAGGAAAGTCCGTTTCAGGGGTAGTGGGGAAGAGACTGTCTTTTAGTCCAGTCCCAGCTGTAAGTCTACTCCCCCTTTGATATGGGGAATGGCATTGCTAGATGCGATCAGAGGCAAAGTTGGTGACTGGGGCCATAGGTCTGCATCATCTTGATAAGAAATATCCTTATTGTCACCTTGTTTCTGACTTTCTTTCCAGGCAACATCATTAAGAATGAGATCTTGTACCTGGCCAAGATCCATCCGTTAACACGAGGCTCTCTCTTGCCTCTCTCGGATCTGGAGCGTCTGCTTGACTGTGCCGTTCGGTTCAGCGCTGACTGGCTGCACAGCAAGCTGCACGGCAAAGGGCTGCACCGGCAGATCTACCAGAAGGAGCAGTGTCCTCTTGGGCATCCAGTGATGAAGGAAACCCTTGGACCCTCAGGTGGCTTTAAGAGACTTACTTGGTGGTGTCCTCAGTGCCAGCCTGCGGTGCTGTCAGAGGATGGGGATCCTTCCCCAGGCACTGAGTGACCTTTCTGTGTTCCTCCTTTCCTGGAGGGTGTCTAGGTGGTCTCTGAACCATGCTCTTAGTTGCCCTGAGAAGGGCTTCATGGTTTCTTTGAGGCTGAGGCTGTTCCTTAGGGACAGTGGAGGTTATAGGAGTCACTGCAGTACTCCATGTGCCTCTGGACGCGAAAAGGAAAGTGGCTGTATGTAACAATTCTTTTTTTTTTTTTTTTTGTCACAGTGACACGACAGTGTAAATGGTTTGACCAGTTCTGAGGTATCTTGCTCCCCCTGTTCAGAATGGATAGCCTAAGGTGTTGAGCAGGTGATTACTGTGATCTAAAGTGACCTTACCCATTGACCCTGGTATGGGTGCAGTGATTTCTGGTGGAGTTAGCAGAAACGAGTATATCCCTCTGCCTAAACAGCTTGATTAATTCAGTATTTGGTAATTCTGACTCGGCTTGTAGCTGAATACCTGTGTGCTGGGCTGCTGTTAGGTGTGGTTAAAAGGAAGTGGCTGTTCTCTCTTGTCAGCTCTTATAGGAAAGGCTGCTTCCTTCTGAGGGGTGAAAATAAACCTCAGGCAGTGCTTGGTGGAGCTCATCTCTGCCTGCCTGGCATGGTGTCTGCCCCCACAGGCTTCAGGTTTGTGGCAGGGATTGCATAAACTTCATGATCTGCGTGGTCACTTGAAAGCAGAAAGGTTTGGAAATAGGAGATGTGCTCCTTCCTTTGAGCTGCGTCTGTGCAGTAGGCAGATGCTGTTGCTGTCCTTTCTCCCTGGATCTGGGTTTAATTTAACAATAGATTGTTGACCTCAGTGAAAAATAAAAGCTGGAGTTAGACCTGGTGATGTTCAGCTTAAGTTCAGTGTGTCTTTTTGGGTAGTTTCTGGGTTAAAAGCTGAGGTGTACAGGGAAACTCCGGCGTTTGGTGCTGCCCTGGTACCAGCAGCTTTCCGCAGCTGTAAGGGTGGCT